TGCGAAGGGCATGTGCGAGAAGGCATGGCTTTATTTCAATGATTGGGGGATCATCTTCGAGAAGGATCAGGCTACAGGTAAATTTGCAGTGGATTTGGAAGAGATAGTAGAAGATGTTGAGGTTGAGGCCTCAATGCATGAGGCAGATAACATGGCTGGGGAAGAACAGAGAAGTCGTGACATACCTGTTTCACATAGTGCAACACCTGTTTGTGACCAAACGATAGCTAATGAGCCCAGTGTTGGAACACCATCCAATAGTAAGAAGAGGAAAGGGAAAGTGAGTGGTAATGCTTCTGAATCAATAGAAAAGAGTTTAGGCGACATATCACGGGTGTTTGGTGAATATGTAAATGAGAGTCATAAGCAGTTGGATTTGATAGCACACTGAGTTGTCTATATGCATGATGTTGCTGATGCTCGTAGGAAAGTAAATGCCGAGCTTGAGAAGATAAATGGAATTTCCATGGGTGATCGTCATGCTGCACTAAAAGTGATATGTTTGGACCCCGTAAATGTGGACATCTTCTTCAGCTTACCTGATTATGAGCGACTGGCATGGGTTGGTGGTTTATTGTGGAACACAACCCAACATTGATCATTACCAATGTTGGGTTGTTGGTCATTTTGAACATTGGGTATTATTATAAATGTTTTTATTATGTAAATATAAGCACTTGTATGTACGTCGTACCTACATATGGACTAAGTACATGTAATGTGCTGCAATGAAAGCATATCATGATTTGCAGCAAGTCCCCAAATTATTGGGTGAACATACTATTTTGTATATGATGTGACAATACTTGTATTCAGAACCTTGGAATGGGTAATTTTTATGTACTGTCAAACAGATGTACTGTTGATTTGAAGGTATTATCTCATGCACCATATGCATTACTGTTTTTGGGCAATTTATATACATGGTATTTTTTTTAGTACCGGTTAAAAGTAGTATTAACAGACATGATATTTTTTGTGCAATTAGACATGAATAAGAAACAACGTTGGTATGTTGTATTTGTTGGAAGACAGGTTGGCATATACCAGTCTTGGGTTGAGTGTCATGCACAAGTGAATAAGTACGTAGGAGCCCTGTGCAAATCGTATGATTCGTACAATGACGCAGTAACTGCTTTTGGCATGTACAATGCGAGGGATGTAGGAGAACCAGTACGTGATGTACCTATTGAGATCGAGGTCCATGCAGTTGCAGATTTGGAAGACCGTCATGAAGATGAGCTTATTGACAATATTGAACAACCAGTTGTTGCAATTGGACAAAGCGGATACTCGCGTGATATGTGTTGGTGCATCATAACTGTGGTAATGTTCATCTTGGGCATATTACTCACCCATATTGTGTACTCGGTTATGGGTAGAGTTGGTTGACTTAATGTTATTACATTACTGACTGTCGTATAATGATGAAGATTGAAGACATTTCACCATTGATTCAAAGTAACCAAGGATTTGTTGTGATACAAATGTGATGTGTTACCTCTGTATACTTCTAATGTAACTTCAATATGATAATATTTGCCATTTTACATATTATTGACTGTTGTTTGATTGATACTAACGTCAAATTTGATACAAAATACTAATATTCCATGAAATTCTTAAATGAAACTCATTTTGTACTAATGAATGATTGTTATTATTGTAGTATGTAATGAAGATACCAAACATAACTGAGGATGAAACTGATGTATTGATTGACACACTGATTGATTACAAAAGTAGAGGGAAGCTCCCGACTTTTGGAAAGTATAATACAAAAATGGTTGACGGTATGTTGGCCGTCTTGAAACGCAGAATGTCAAAGTTCTGTTTGTCGTTTACTGAGCTTATTAGGATTATATTCTATTGGGAGCGATAATACCTTACAATTTCTAAGATGGTTGACTATGGGTTGTTTGAATGGGACCCTTTAGCCAAATGTGTGGTACACAACCCAGACACAATTGGTGCAAATAAGTTCTTGGAAGTAAGTGATTTTACATTTTAACATATTTTGTACGTAAATTTTTTTTAGCATTCTAGCATGTTAGTTATACATTAAAGTAATCATTTTCTTAACATTTACACTTGTAGGACGATGATTTCGCTGGACAATATTGCCTTGACCTGTGCCCAAATTTCCAATATTTTGGTGTTATTTTCAAACGAGATGACGCTTCATCAAGCAATCATCAATTGGATAGTGTTGGTTCATTATCGTCAGTGAATTCTCCAAGGCACGTCGATGTTATAGTCATCGATGATTGAATGCATAGACGATCGTTATGGGCATGTTTCCCATTTAAAATATTTATATGTATGTACTGATGTGTGTATAATATTTTGTTACATGCCATAAGCCATTTTGGTAATTACTATGTACAACTTGTGGTAGTGTATGATATACGAGCGTCTGTGGAGATATGTCTTCACCAAACAATTTAAGACAATGTTGCCTTTATTTTGTACGGATAGGTAAATACAGTTAGTAATATGGACGAATACTGTCCTAAATATAAACCCTCATGTCTTAAATATTTGTAATGTTTTGGTTTAAGACAATGGTTTGTTGGATTACTCTTTTTACTATGATTATTTTGGAAGGGATGACCCTGAATTCACATGGGAAGTGGTTAACCCCCTCAAATGGGAGAAGACCCTTTTTTTAAGTTTATGTTGTTCAAATGTTACAGGTAATTTTGTAATGTGCTTGTTCTTTGCTATTGCTCTTTTGCCCATGAATCCACTCGGAGTTTGCTTGTCAATGTGTTATTGTATTTTTGTATTTTTTTTATTTTTGTGCATGTCATGGTCATACAGGATATGTGGAGATTGGGAGATATATGGAGAGTCTTGTGACAGTTGATGAAAACATTTAAAAAAAAAATTTCTGCCACTTGGTAGACTAAAAAAAGTACTCAATTTTTTATGAGCACTTGATCACACTACTTGACTGTATGCGAATGTTGTATATAATTTTTCTTAGTAACACATGTTTTGTTCTTTTTTACATGTTTTGAATGAGGTTTGTATATAGTTTTTCCCATCATGGCTTCTTGTATTTTTCCTTGTACTTGGAATTAATTTTATCGTATTTTAATATTTACAAAAAAAAAATGAAAAAAACAGTTAATTTCTTCTATATTTCATGTTAATTTGTGTTGTGCCATAATTTTTTGTATATTCTTGCATTATTTGTCCTAAATTTTTTAAATTTTTTGACGGGTGAAATAAATTTGTGAGCGACTTATAAAATTGTATTCTAAAATTAATGTGTAAAAACATGTATTTGGTGAATATATAAACATTCTTATATTTTTCACATTATTAAATTGGTAATCAACAATGAACAAAAATTAAAAAAATAATTATTTCAAAAGTGGTAACCAACAATTGTCAAGCCAAAAATGAGATAGGCTTAGATAGGATTCAAGGGTAAAATGGTCAATGACTGTCAAATGTATTAGATATTTAATAAAAAATTATAGTTTGTCCATATCTCAACCCCTTTATAATGCACTATCCAAAGCAGGGATTTGATAACACAATTTCCTTTTATCCCTCCATATATCCGGCCTATTGGAATTTCACTGGATTGGTTTAGAATTTATATCAAAGACAGTTCAATCCGCCCATGATTTGCCAACACACACCCCTAAAGGTGAAAATAAATTGGCTAGGGACACTTTTGGGTCTACCTAAAATCAATTGGATTTGGACCCTAGCAGAGAGAAATTCAATAGTTCTAGAACCAAATCACCAAAAGTTTCATGCCTATCCATACATTATATTCACTGCCCTGTCATTCACTTTCATGCTATAGCCAAAAATCTTAGGCTTGTAATTTGATGATGCATGAATAAGCCAAGTTAAATCTGTAGTTTTCATGGAAAATAAGATTCCAAAGAATTTTTCTCTTTCTTGGGGTTCTTTGTGCGTGCACATATATGCCAGATCTGGACACTGCTGAACCGGAAGAGATTGCTCAGGATGAATATATGAGTAACAAAGCCGAGGAGGGTGTAGTCAAGAAGATAACTCCCAAGGAGAGCATGTACCAAAAAAAAAAACTCCCAAGGAGAGTAATTTGACTCATAGAAGCGAGGATCTAGAAGAGAGGGTTGATATTTGGTCAACTATGGAAGAGACTAAGGGGGACTGTGTCTGCATCCTTCTCCTCATCACTTAGGATCCTTCTCCTCAGCACTTAGTATCCCATCCATCTCCCATTTTTTGTCCATAAAATTGACACAGACGAACTACCTACTATGGAAAACTCAGATAATAACATTGATTGAAGCACACGATCTTCTCAGTTTCGTTGATGGAATTGGAAAAGAACCAAAGGACTGACTTCCTTGAGACTTATTACAACAAAGTGAGATAATGAACCCTGATTACGTCAGACCGACTACTAAAACCGAAGACGTTCTTAGTATTGTCGTTGTGCATTGGGGCTGTGTTTGGGGGGAAGGTAGGGGCGGTGCAACACTGCAAAATGATAAAATCCAGAAATGTTGATCATGTTGAGGANCAAAGGACTGACTTCCTTGAGACTTATTACAACAAAGTGAGATAATGAACCCTGATTACGTCATCTGGAGAAGAACAGACCGACTACTAAAACCGAAGACGTTCTTAGTATTGTCATTGTGCATTGGGGCTGCGTTTGGGGGGAAGGGAGGGGCGGTGCAACACTGCAAAATGATAAAATCCAGAAATGTTGATCATGTTGAGGAACATTTTTTTATATCTGCAACAGGTAAAAGATTAATCTTCTTATACAAGAGAAGATCGATACAACAGTATATATACAAGAAAACTACTTACAGCAGAAAATTTAACAGGCGCCTCTACATTTTGTTCTCAAATCCAAGGAGTGGTAGTCAGACCAGGAGAAATCGAAAAGCAGCTGTAATGGATTCAGTCCTNCGATACAACAGTATATATACAAGAAAAATACTTACAGCAGAAAATTTAACAGGCGCCTCTACGTTTTGTTCTCAAATCCAAGGAGTGGTAGTCAGACCAGGAGAAATCGAAAAGCAGCTGTAATGGATTCAGTCCTCCAAATTTTGCTTGTCGAAAAAGCCATGGCAATTGTCATCTAAGTTTTATCTGATTAACTCTATTGTACCAAATTGAATGCAGGGTCATGTGAAAGAGATCATACTTCATGGGCTTGGCATGCCACAGAAAATGCTGCTGAACCTTCCTCACTGCACTTTGCATTTCTAGATACTTCTCTTCCGGTAGAGAAATGAGTACGTCTTTCAAGTTAGGGATATCTTTCTCAGCGATAATGATTGAGAATGAATCCCAATTTAAGACATCGAAAAATGGTGGCACAAAATTGTCAGAGATGATCACAGGTACACACTCGTAAAAGATGGCTTCAACCACCCTCGGGCTGTTGACCTCGTAACCCTTGGGGCAGATGCAGTACTTGCTGCTCTTCATATGATGAATGTAATTCATTCTGCTTGCAACACCTGGAGGCATTGCACCAAAGATCTTCATATCAGGGTCCTTGTCCTTCCAATACTTGAGCAAGATCGGGCGTAAATATCCATGCATGTTACCAGCATAGAAGGCAAGAATATGCCTTTGAGAAGGTGGCTTTCCTCCAAGGTCTCTCAGAGGGTTTCTGGCAGAACGGACGTATGTTTCTGGAAGGGACACATCTCTCCCTATTTTGAAGCCTGCAGTTACATCAGCATTGCAGAGGGCTTTGATGCAATGTTCCATATGATGCCTTGTTTCATATGGGGCCTATAAACATACAACATATTAGAATATATCCACATAGAACTTGTGATCCTATTATATCTATGGGAAATAAAATTAAAAAAAGGGGAAGAGAGCAACTCATTATGGAAAACATGACAGGTTGTGATGGGTTCTGATTAATAATAACGAAAGAGATAAGGAAACTGGGCTACTATTTCACGCCTGCTTTCACACTAACGTTGTTCAACATAAGAGGACTCTAGGACAAAACATAGCAGTGTCGGATCATCTTACACAACCCATGTACAAAATCCAACCATATTTAAGTTCTTGAATTATTAAAAGAGAAACAAATTAAAGGAAAAGATGGATGGGAAGCATTACCCAATCATGGCAAGCAACAAGAAAATGATCTGCCCCACCAGTTCTGTTCCAGAAAGGATATTTTGCTGCTATCTTTTCTGAATAAATCTTGAGATATTGGCGTAGGTTGGTCCGATTGTGAGAGTTATGTACATACAGGGTGTACTGTAGCATCCGTGAACTAAAAGGCATATAAAACAGGTGTGCCTTTCGGGGGTCCTTCACAACAAAACGCTTATTTCCCTCCATCAGTTTCATAAACCATCCCTCGGAGGCATAGAGTCCCTTCATTATTGGTTGATGAAAGATGGGTTTTTCTCCATCCTTGTAAATATATACTTTGAGTATGCGTTCCATGAGTTCATAGCTCCTGCCAATTCACAAAAGAAAAACATCTTGAGAAATGCTTTCTCAACAGAGAAGCAATAGCAGTCTAAAATCCGGGCTCTCATGGCCGGAACAGGCGTATTGATGTATATCAAAGTGTTTGAGGGGAAAATAACGGCTGCTTAAGACCATTTAATTTGAATAATAAAATTTTTATGGTGACACATTCTGCTGTATCCGGACAGCGTAACATAAAGGTTCACCACTGATCAGTGAACACATAGATCACAGGCAACATCCTCACTCTACTACCCATGGCTCTGCCCAATATATTTGAAATTCTACAGCTTATATGTAATCTGTTAACAAGACATGCAGATTGAAAACAGCATGACTACCGAAGAGGGGAAAAAAGGAGGTGTTGTTAGTGGGAAAGTAGATAAAAAAAAAAAAGGGCAAGAGTGACATATGCTTGTGCTTCTTAACGTGCCTAAATCAACCAAGGACAAAACTGACTTCCACACACTACTTGATCTTCAAACCAAACTAGTATGTATATACAGATGAGGTAAAACAAATACACATTATTTTCAGATTTACAAGTAGGCTAATGAACATCGGAGGCAGGCAGGTCATTGTTTGGAAGGTGATATGAAGTAGATCATGCATCATAATGCAGTAGATAATAAGAAGGGGGATACAGATGCATGCCATGCTTGACAAAAATTTAGTTACTGAATCAGACTAGTAGGATTCAGATAAGTAATGCTTCCTCACTGACCCTAGACTACATCACTCTCAAATATTGAAATATAAACATATGTTGACTAGGGCTTCTGTTGTGGATTAGAAAATGATGGCTCTTTTGTGATATTCCTTCCCTTATATTTGTTTTCTCAAATTCTTACATGGATCATCGGTGTTAATCCCGCATAATACATGGAAATTTTTTCTTGTATTTAAACGTTTGTGTGAATGGAGAAGTGACTAATTTCAAGACGGATTACATCCTTCATATACAATTGCATTAGTCTAACCTTTTAAACATTGAAACATTCCGAAAGAGGGGAGCATAAAGTTCTCGATTGATCTTCACGATGGGATCATTCTCAATCTGTGACTTTGCAGTCAGGATTTCTCGGTCATGTACTGAGGACCATCTTGGTCTCTGTAATCCAATTTGAAGAAGTTAAACACTTCACTGATATAAGACCAAAAGAATTAAGGGAAAGAAAAACCCATACCATTGCACGTGAACGAGCACGGTGCCAAACTAGTAAACGGTTCATCTCATCTATGGTTGTTACTGATTTGGGTGGCATTTGACACCTCATCTTTTTTTTAACGGGACTACTGACAGTTGCAGAATCATTTTTTGAAGTGTCCAAGTCGCTTTGCAACAGCACATGGTTCTCATCATCTTGAAGGACTTCTATTGCTTCCTTAACNGAACTAGTAAACGGTTCATCTCATCTATGGTTGTTACTGATTTTGGTGGCATTTGACACCTCATCTTTTTTTTAACGGGACTACTGACAGTTGCAGAATCATTTTTTGAAGTGTCCAAGTTGCTTTGCAACAGCACATGGTTCTCATCATCTTGAAGGACTTCTATTGCTTCCTTAACTGAAGAGTTATTGACAGTAGAGACAATAGAGGTGCTCACATTAGGTGCAGACGTTTGCATAAATGTTCTATTAACTGAAGATATTACTGGAGGCAATGTAACTGGCAAAGATTGTACAGTAAATTTGTCTGGCAGTATAAGTGGATTTGCATCTTGAATATTGCCCATGGAATTCTCATGACTTGGTTTCACAATCTGCTCCAGAGAGAGGCCATACTTAGTTTCACTAGCCTTTTCCAATATGAAACCCTTCTTTTGATTTTCAACATTCTCTGCTGTAGAACCCTCACCCAACTCTTCAATATCTTCAAACAGATTATTGTTGTCTATCTGTTCATCTTCAACAAAGTCTGGATCGCTGTCTAGGTCTTCGCCATCTGAAGCAACTGTAGTCTCTTTGTCATTATCATTTCTTGCCGGTCCCATATCATCCTCAGTGTCTCCATCTAAGTCTCTACTTACTGCATCTTTGCCTTGGCCAACAGATAGAGATGTATCTATCACGTCTGAACCATTAAGGGTGAGGGAGTTGGTAACCACCACAACGGCCTTAGCAGAAGATTGTCTAGATGAAACACTGTCCTTCCCACTTATTGGAACCTCACCATCAGGCAACATAGAGAGAAGAGCATTTCCATATGGAAGCAACAAGGACTGACAAATCAAATGAGTAATACCCACTAAACCCACTACAAAGAGCCATCTCCTCCTTTCATTCTGGAAAAACTTTTGAAATTGTATTGGCCAATCCATACTTATACGGCAATTAGAATTCACTGATCATCCAAGAAATAGTAACTTTGTCAAATCCTGCATTATTACCAGCGGAATTCAGGTCCAACTCAAAAAAAAAAAAAAAGCCCAAAAACGAAGGTCTTGTACAGGAAAATAAAGCATTCTATATGTATATGATCCAAGTGCACTCTAAAACATGACAAATCTTTAAGCTCTCAACGGTTGAACTTCGGAACATTGACAAGCATAAAAAATAATAACTAATCAAAGAACAGGTTGCAAAGCTGCTCCAGATCTTTGAAAAAAACACAAAAATCAACATAACCAAATGTTTCCAATTAGGGAAACAAACTTTAGATACTGCACAGAGCCACTGCCTGAGTTTCGATGAGCAAGAAGATTACTATAAACACTAAAAAAATTGCTCTAATTTTCGACGTTAGCATTGAACTTTTGCTCAGAGAACTACAGTATACTTATTGAGCAGAACACACAAGTGAAGCAGAACACATGATGTACAGCCGACAAAAAAAATAAGAGCAAGGGAAGGGAGTGTAATGCTTGGTTAAATTACGCAATTTTTATAACAACTAGAAATAGGCAATTACTTACAACAATCTAAAGATCAATAATCGCAACCTCAAAGTACCCAAATCTAAAATCATACTAAATTGTTCTTAATAGATGCATTTCAAAAGTACTATCCCATGATCAAGAGTTGCTTCAGAGAGAGAGAGAGAGAATACCCAGAAGAAAATGGAGTACAGAGATGCATCAAACTTCAACCCAGATGTCAACTTTTTAACATACCCAGAAGCAACAAACAAGCATCAAATCCTGAAATGCCGAAAAAACATAACGGCGTTGAAATGAGATTGCAAGTACAGAGTTGAACTAGAACCAGTACAAGGAACACAATTTTCCAGAGTAAAATAACTCCCAATTGGGCATTAATTGCTTGAAGTATTCGAACTAATAGGGGTCAGAGCGCCTTATCTTACCACATTCAGTAAAGATGACATTACTGATTAGTTTATTCAGACATAGTAAGTATCCTTATTTTTTGAGGGAATCTCTAACCAACCTGATTTTCAATTTGTTTAATACAAAAAATTATATTAAAAGCAACAAAAATAAATCTGTTTGCTTACATCAGAATAATTAATCTTTGTGTTTGGATAGGTGATATTATTGGGTCACCAATAGCTTCTGTCTTTTTGAGACTCCCATGGTCCCCCTTCTGTCTTTTTACTACAGTCTACAGTCTACAGTCTCTACATGGTACAGGGTCCGAAGCAGCCCACTTTAGATCACTGCCGACGTCGTCTCGCTGTGCTATTGATACAGACGACTTCGTATTTTAGTCTAATTTCTTTAAACATGTATTTAAAAAAATAAATTTAAAAATTAGACTTAATAATTTTAATCATTGATTTCACTGTAACTTCTAACATTTATTGGAACTCACTACTTATTCAATAGTTAAGATTATCAAATCTAATTTTTAAATNGATAATCTTAATCATTGATTTCACTGTAACTTCTAACATTTATTGGAACTCACTACTTATTCAATAGTTAAGATTATCAAATCTAATTTTTAAATTCATTTAACATTATCTTTAAACATAATACTATCTACGTAATACTATCTCGTGATCCTTCTCGGACAAGCAGTAATAGGTCAGAAAAAAAAACAGTTAACATGCGCAGTATATATGTCGAACCACCGACAGGCCGGCCCTATACTATAAAAATAAAAGTGGAGCTGTAGGCCTCACACACAAAAAATACCTCAAATTTAAAAATTAATAATACAATATAAGTTAAAAAATAAAATTTACTATAATATTACCTAATAAATTAATTTTTGAAAGAGTAAACCAACAAAAAAACTAAAAATTTGAGCCCAAAAGTTCAGACCTCCTCACACAATCACACTTATTAAAGGACAAAAACGATTAATAAAAAAAAATTGACAAAATTTATCTTTTTCTCCAATCGAAAGAAATGTAATAAGTATCTCTCTTTAGTCAAAATAAATAAACCAAATACATTTTTTACTTCTCTTAAACTTGTTTTTTTTTTTCTCATTTGAACGCAAAACAAATTAAACCATTCATTCTCATTAAAAAAATGTTGTGATAAAGTTCTTAGGAACAAATAAAATATAACAAACATTTAGGTGAAAGTTGCATGGATAAATAAATAAAATTCAAAGATAGTAAAATAATCTAAAAAAAAGATAACAATAAATTTATTTATAATAAAATCAATTATCTAATTCCACAGTTTCAATAAAAAACATATAAAACAAATAAAAAGAACATAAAAATATTAATGAAGAAATTAATTTTATTCCTCTAAATATGTATTATCAAAAGTCATTTTATTAATTTAAAAAATATATTAGCAAAATTTAAATAAAAAAATTAGCAATTTCGAATTTCATCAAAAAATATAAATAATAGATTTTAAATTAAAAAATTAAATTATGATTAAAAAATAAAAATATCATTGACCGTCATTGCATTAAGCCTCAAATGTTGTTGAGCCACCCCTGGCCACCGAGTGGGATGGGTATCGGCCAAATTTCTCATATTGAAGTTAGAGGTTAGAGTTTTGGAGTTTGTATTAGGCTTGGTAATTGATTGTTGTGTTAGTCTAGCTGAGTTCATTTCTAAGAGGAATAACGGACGCAGTTAAGAGTCTTATAATTCCACCAATAAAAGTCTATCTGCTGAACATAGTTAAGAGTCTTATGATCTGTCTTAGGATCAAATTTTCGTTTCAAAACAGTTGAAAAATTCAAAACGTTTTTGTTTTCAAGAAGAACGAAATGAATCAGTGATAAAATCAAATTCTAATATTTCGAGATTTTTTATAATGTTTCGAGGTGTTTTGTAATGTTTTAATACATTTTTTTACAATTGTTTTAGAATGTTTTAAGAAATGTCAAGATATTTTGGTGTATTTCAAATAATGTTTTGAAAAAATAATTATTAAATTTTTTATTTTTTTCATTTTATTTCCAAAACAAATCAAAACGTTTCCGAAACACGTCGAAATGTTTTCGTTTCTTAGATGACCAAAACAATTATCCGAAACAAAATTCTTATCCTTACTTATTGGCTTACATGGACATATAATTATTGACTTGTGTGAGATCTGTTTTCTTATTTGTTTACACATTATTGGTTGGTTATATTATGTTACCAATTCTAATATGGTATCACCGTTACGATGAATATTTTTTCAAGATGTTGATGGCATAAAATTTAGTAAAAAACTACCAAATAATAAAAGAATTTCTAATATACCCCGATCAAGAAATGGAAAATAATAGTAGTTTAGGGATTTATTTTATCAAAATGGAGTTATCAGTGTTTGACCATACAAAAACTCATACAATATCCAATCAAGAAATGAATTTTTGTTTTAGAAGTTAGATTTTGTCGTGTTAAAACCTAATTGTTTGTGTATAACATTTTATCTCAAGGGCTGATAGAATTTCGGTTTTATTCTCATGTTATCTTAAGCTAACAACAAGACTTTGCCAGGTATGGAGGGTGATGAACCCTCATACAAAACCTTTTTTTTTGCAAAGAAAGAATATCTCAATCCAAATTAGTATATGAATACCTCACACAATAAATAGAGGTGAATACGTAATTATTTCTAGTCTAAAATAATCAATAACAAGCACTATTTTCATATTAGGTTTTAATTGTATTAATGCATCATATTGAAAGTTGCCACCTCTACTTGTATCCCTGTTATTCTCATGTAAATAGGGTAATGCTCATTAAAGAAGAGCTTTGCACTTGTAACTCATTTACCTTGCATGTTCATATCCCCATTCAAATCCAACAGCACATATTTCACTGAGTATTCAATTTCCTTGCAGCCCTTGTTTGTTGTTGTTCAAGCCTACAAAACAAGATACTATTTGAGATATGGGCTCTGTTTCATGCTTCCTCAGTATCAAAGTCGCCAAATTCTGTGACACTCTCACCCAGGCTTTACCTGAAATACTCTGTGATACCCAACTGAGTGAAGGATCATATGAAATAAATCATCATTCACAGGCTTTTTGTGTCAAAGGACTTGAGTTTATTCCCAAGTTGTCGTTGTTTTGTAACTTCACTTCAGTTATACAGTGATTCATAACTTATCATGCAATCTACGATTATTTTCTTGACAACGTGATTTGAATTCATGCTTTTCAATGTAAAAGTGTATTTGCACAGCACGGTTTCAAGGTTTTTTTTTATTTTATTGAAAGCGTGTTTTGTAAACAGATATTTTACATGGAAAGTGTGGGTTCGAATCAGTTTTCATGGAAACAACTGTAGATGGAGTAATAAGCTAGAAACTACAACACATATGAAATCAAAATTCCAAATCATGGTATTTTGAAAAAAAGATTCATCTTTTCTTATCTTCAGAATATCTTTCTACAACTGAAAAACTCTGTTGTGCCAAATTGAGTGAAGGATCATATGAAACAAGTCATACTTTACAGGCTTTTTGTGCCAAAGAAAATGCTGCTGCACCATCTTTACTCTCTGCTGCATGGCCAGGTACTTCTTTTCTGGAATTGAGAGAAGTATGTTCCTCAAATTTGGAATATCTTTCTCTGAAACAAACACAGAAAACGCTTCCCAATCCAATATCTCAAAGAATGGAGGCACATAGTTGTCTGATATGATAACTGGTACACACTCATAGTATATTGACTCAACCACCCGTGGAGTGTGAACTTCATAGCCCTTAGCACAAATGCAATATTTGCTGCTCTTCATGAACTCCCTGTATCTCAATTTACCTTCAATGTCACGAGGCATTGGCCCAAAGATCTTCATGTCTGGTTCTTTATTGTTCCAGTACTGTAATAAGATTGGACGGAGATAACCATGCATTCCCCCAGCAAAGAAAGCTAAAATAGGTCTCTCTGAAGGGGGGTTTCCTCCTAGATCCATTTGGGGGTTCTGAGACGTACGAACATAGGTTACTGGGAGAGAAACGTCCTTCCCTATTTTGAAACCTCTGACAACATTGGAATTGCAGAGAGCTCTGATGCAACTTCCCATTTTGTTTCGTGTGAAATGGGGGGCCTGGGAAATTTTGATTTTATTAGGAACCAGCACAATATATGTTAACCCCATTCTACTCAAATTATTACAAGGTTGCATTTACCTTAGGCTAAGCACGTAAATGACAGAGTACGTCATAATTTTCCCAGAGAAAGGACAGAGGGTAAGAGAGATCTTGTGAACTTGTAAAGAAACAAAAAACCAAAAAAATTTAAAGCGATATCTTAGAGGTCTCTGTCAATGTAGAAATATAATAGATCTCTGTCAATGTTGAAATTAATGTGACTGCATAGAGTTTCACGGATAGTGAAAATTATTAGCAAACTTGAAACGGAAAAAGCCAGACAAATTGTGTTGACTGGGCAAATTGAAACTTGTATCTTATTCTCCATTTGTTTTACCTACAGAATGAATGGAAAAGGTTAATTGCTATGATTATAAGATTTCCAGCTTTAAATTGATGCTAGACCCATCATTCAGGGGCCATTACAATGTTCACCCTCAATATTTCTAACAATAATAGTACTGGAGAGTGTTGTACTGTGAAGTTTTAAACCTTGGGGAGGGAAAGTTCAATTTGCCAAACACCCTTGACAGTTAACGTCAACCAATGCTTAGTATGTATTCTTGTATGGAGGATAGTGAAAGTTTTGGGACTTTCTATGCGAAACTGAGTGCTATGGGATATGGGGCTCAAAACTCATAGGTCTAAAGCTCTAAGCTATAATAGCACCCTAAAAGATAATCATATTAAGCAATGAGTTAGCTTCGATGATATAGTAAGTTTAAATTTAAAGATGATTAAGGCATGGGATGCATACCCAGTCATGACAAGCAACAAGAAAATGATCTGCTCCTTTGGTTCTGTTCCAGAAACGATATTTCTTTGCAATCATGTCCACATAATTCTCCAGATACTTCTGTAAATCGTTCTGAGTAGAAAAATTTTGTTCATGAAGTACACTCCTTAGCTTCAGAGAACTAATAGGTAAATAAAACAAGTGAGCTTTTTTGGGATCCCTCACAACAAATTGTTTATTTCCCTCGATCAGTTTCATGAACCATCCTTCAGAAGCATAGATTCCCCTCATATATGGTTGATGGAATATTGGCTTTTCCCCTTCCCTATAGATATAAACTTTGAGCATTTTTTCCATCAATCCATAACCCCTGCACTTGAGATCACAAGGAAGCTCTAATCAATGGGATGCTCTCTCGAGAACAATACAGATAATTCAATTGCCTCAAGGATTTGGCATAGCAGGTCTCCACCTACAGTCAGCGTCTAACATTCATCATGGGCATATTTATATATTTGTTATTCACTTATTTATTTATTTAGTTGTAACTCAATGAAAATAAAACGATGATGAGATGATCAAGTGAATTTGTTGGTTTAAAGATAAATATGCAATTAATCATGCACTTACTGATAAGAAGACCTTCTAAAACACATGCAGCTATTGGAGGTCAACAAATAAACATTAACAATGTCTGACCCCCCCCCCCCCCCCCCCCTTTTTTTCTCCCAGCATCAAAACCTAGAAAGAGAGAAAAAAAAAATCTACCATGATTTAAAGCTATTGTTGATATAAGCAACAACCCTGATCTCACACTTCATAATTCTGTCACTAGTAGCCATCTTTTTTTTTCATCACAAGGAATCTCAAATCGTTCATAAAGGTTTACCTTGCTTATCTACCTAAGGCCCCACTTTCTCCACATGAAAGAATAATGACCGAGTCTAGGTTTGTAATCTGGATTGTCTGGACAGGAACACGCATAGTAAATGCATAGGATTGTGAGTGATCACAAAAGGACATAATTTGAAACACCAACTTTTTAGTATGTGTTTAAATACGCTTACCTTCTAAACATGGAAAAATTCCGAAAAAGAGAAGCATGAAGTCCAGGAGTGTTCTTCAGGATTCTAGAATTTTCAATCTGTAACTTTGCATTTTGCAGTTCCCTATCGCGTGCGGAAGACCACTGTGGCCTCTATTAAAAGTTCAAAAAAAAAAAGATGTTAGGTATTTAAAATACATAAATTAATTCTTGCTGCTCGTATCAGAACTTTGAAGTCCAAATCCATACCACTGAACTGGTTGAAACATAAGTCTGAAGCAATATTGAATTCATATCAGATATCGATGTTGGTCTTATCCTCCCCTCCTTCATCACAGAATTACCAGCCATTGACGACGTATTGTTTGAAGTATCTGAAACAGATTGCAGTAGCCCAGTATTTGAAATTTTGGGTTGGGTTTCCCTAACTTGTTTGCTGTTACGAATCACAGACGTGTTGGCCAGAGCAGATACACTTGAATTTGTTGCCTCTTCATGTGAGTTGTCATATTTAGAGATTGTTGGTGCCTTGAGTGGCAGGGAACCAGAACCAGCTCGATTGGGATATTTGGCAGGTGTTGAGTAGGTATTATTTTTTGGGTTGTTGCCTCGGGTAAGGTTGTAATCTGATTTCTTCACCCACTGAATGGAAGTTAATCCAAAGTCCATAACCTTTTCTTGATTAGAACTCTTATTTGTACTTCTAACATTTCTCATTGTCGAACTTTTCTTTAGGGTTAGACCCTCCTTAGATGTAGACTCATTACGCGAGTTCTTCTCTTTTTCAAAAAATTTGTCCATCTTTCCATCATCCTTTGATGCAGAACCATAGGTTTTGCCCTCCCCTTCTACTTCACTCTCATACCCATCTTCCTCATCCAATTTAGAAGCATCAGTCTTGTTTACCACCCCATGTAGAAAAATACTATTTGCTGATTTTGAACCATTCAAAAGAACGGTGCTGCTAACCGCCAAAAAACCTGTACCCTCATGGGAATTTGGATGCACTGATAAATAATGGCCATAGGGAAGTGCAAATAATTGAGACAGAACAACGACAGTGATTATCATGCCCATAATTAACATCAATCTCTGGATATTGACATGGGATAACCTTTGAAATTGAGCTCCAATTCCCATATCATTGATTGGCAACAACCAACGGAATATCTTAGGCACACTTCAGTTGCAAAGAGATATGGTAACAGACACTGAAGTCATCACATGACCTGAAAAAGCAATTATCAAGAGAACATAGAATTTGTATTAAACAAAAATTATGTATATTGTCTGTTCAGACACAAAAATGATGCCTGGAATGAAATGATATATCATAGAGAAAATTCTGATAGTATAGTATCTACTTCACAGCGGGATTTTCGCAGATTTACAATAATGCTGAATTAGAGAAAATTTTAACTCCACAAGACATCAAAAGGCATCGCTTCAAGTTAATGGCCTAAAACAAAACTACTCTATCTAATTTTTAGTGAGATTTTACAACCCCTCATGGTCTAATAGAGAAGTTCTTACTATCTTTCCAGACATCAACATCAGCACAGAATTACAAATTGAGCATTTTATTTTTCAACATCATACTGCATTTTTCAATGCCAAAGAACTTTTATGGTACTTCCACTGATTTGTAAGATGTACTTACCCTTTATTATCATCTTCTTCAGAATAGAAAAAGTCTAAAACACACAAGTTGCTAAGTTGACAAAATCAAGTAAAAATCTTGACAGAATCCATTTTGACATATTAAAGTATCTAAAATCACAAAATTTAATTCTGGAGTCAACTGAACTATGCTGCGTAGTTGAAGCATCAAGTGTAAAAGGCATATATTTTCCTGAAGCTAGTCTCTGTTTGGTTTGAATAAAAACAATAAACATTGTGACTTTCCCCAGAAAATTTGTTAGCATAACTCAATAGGAATCGCAAGAATGCCTACCTTTTCTCAACAGTAAGAGCTGAAGTTTAAGTGGAATCTGAAGCAAAATCTGTCGGTAGAATCAAAATCAGAAACCCATTTCAGGAATAGAGAATACAAGCTTCAATAATTGAAGATTTGTGTCGCAGAACAGCTTGTTAATTATGTCAGGAGATAGAAAGAGAGAGAGAGGAAAATAAAACAAAATATTTTACTCGTTCGAAGGAAAAATATCATGGCCACATAACACAGGGAAATAAAATATAGAAGAAATTACACAAATAGTCATCCACCTATGAATCTTGTGTTAATTAAATTTCTATAATTTTTATGTTATTTGAGTCACTAAATTCTAAAATTTTATTAATTAAACCCTTTTTTTTAGCAATCATTAGGTTTTTGATCAAAATGTCTTGTGTAATCATCACATGAACAACAAATTAGAGGTATTTTATACTGTTTGTTTAAAACCTATAAGTCAAAAAATCTCAGTCCTTATACTCATTAACCAAAACTCAAAACCTAATTTTTTTTCATACCTATTAAATGAAACAGATCAACAAGTTCTTCCATCTAATTTAGAAAATAAATTACATAAATATTATCTCTCCGAAGAGCTACTCAAAATTCATTAGAAAATGTAAATATAACCATCCAAAATCCATAATATAAAACAGAGCGGTTTCAACAAACTGATCATACGGTTTCAAATTTATTCATCTAACGATTAAAAAATTATAATTTTTTTCTTAATATTTTCTCCTCTCAAAAAGTCAACGATTACGGCAGATCTTTGAACACATCTTACGGTCTTAAATTCATTTATCCAACGGTCAAGAAATTATAATTTTTTTCCTAATATTTCCCCTTTAAATTTTTTTTCCTCAATAAATTAACACTTTGTTAATCATTTATGTATAATACGGGTGTATTAAAGAATGTATATTAGGTTTTCAATTTAGTGTATGTCCAAGTTCAATGCTTGATTATTTCATATTCACGATCAATATTCGATTTTTTTAAAATTGTACAGTGCCTTCAAGCATGCACGGGTTACCGCTAGTTTAACAACTAATACACGAACAATATGTGAACGAAAAGAAATAGAGGAGAAAAGATCAATCATTCTCAAAAAGGGAATATTGGCTGCAACACCCCCGTACCCGTGTAGACCAAATCATCCAAGTCCGACTGCTACCTCAGTTGATACGAAAGAAATTAGAAGAATTGGATGAAAATGTGGCCTTATCACAATTATTCATTCTTTCTACGTAAAAATGGAAAAAACAGGGATTTTTTAAGCAATGGTCAAGAACCTGATAAATTGCACATTTGTTTCTCTTTATTGCCCTAATATTCACTAGAAATTACAATAACTAGGTTTGTGAATCTCTCTTGACTGTGGGGGTGTGGGTGGACATTGTACGTCGTGGGTGGTGTAGTTGGGGTGGTTTTGTGAAGAATTGGTTAAGCTTATGAAAATTATTCTATGTTTTAGGAGTTTGTGAAGGTGGATGGTTTTGGGGGTTGAGAGAAGGTGACATGGGTGCTGGTGTGTGACAGTGATTTTGAGTGTGGGTCGACGAGAGGGGGAAGGTATAAAGAAAGAGGAGGGAAAGAGGAGGTTTTGAGGTACAAAGAGAGTATTGGAGTGAAAATTAAGTGACTAAACGTGGGTTGAGGGTGATTTAGTATAAAAGTCTAAAGTTGAGAAAAGTTATCTGCAATTGACTCTAAAGCATATATATATATATATATATATGAACAAAAAATACATCAAGAAAAAATGAATAAAAAATTCTCTAAAGCAACACCACATATAAATAAATACATCAGGAAAAAAAATAGTGACAGAACCAAATCAAATCACCATTATCATAATCCAATTTATTAACATAACATAATTATAAACTCAATCTACCAAAGTAATAAATATCTCAAACAAAAAACTGCTCACAAATGCAATAATCTATATAATAAAAATAAGTTTACAAATGTTGTCCAAAAAATAAGTTTTGTCATTTGAAATTCCACCAGCTTCAAAAAGAATGAATACAGCCAGTAAAAAAAAAAATATTTAGATGTTTTTTCATTCTCTAAAAACATACAATATTTTTTTTAATTCATCCATATTTAAATAATAAAAAGATTGAGAAAACATATTTACCTAAAAAACATCGCTTCATAGGTTCTGATGTTCATTGTTTGTTAGTTGAGTCTCCATATCTTCTAATGCTCGTAAACAGATTAAGTTATTTTCGATATCCTCTAACAGATCTTCTAATTCTATCACATCTAAGAAACCATTCTTGAACTTTGTTGAATGAAATCAGTCGACCAAGAAAATGGAAGCGTGCTAACAACAGCATACAACATAATTGGATNCAAACTTTGTATGAATGAAATCAGTCGACCAAGAAAATGGAAGCGTGCTAACAACAACATACAACATAATTGGATTATTCGGACCGAAACCTTTTGTTGTTTCAGTTTGTAAAATAATGATTCTTTTTTTTATATGGTCAATGACATTTGATTGTGGATCCATTTTCTCCATCTCAAACTGTATCCACAATGGATGGATATTGCGCTCCGCTTCCGCTAATAATTGTATAAATCGTACTGCATAGGTTGGTTGGTCATAATTGAAAATTTTTTCCTTTGCAGAATCCCAGGTGGTGGGAATAGTCTTTGCTATTTTTTGCATAATATAATCTTCACTTATGTTTTTCTTTACGTTTTGCATCATACAACCAAATCTAATTTTTTCTAACCCAAACTCTGAGATTGGGGTCCATCTTCGAAAGACTCATTTTCAAATTTATCTACTATGCTTGATACTGCCAAACGCATACTACGACGTGCATAGATAAGAGGGTATTTCATGTTATCTGTTCATAATATAAAAGTTACAAATTAAATTGATAATAATAAAATTAGCAACAGTTAACCAATATTACAACAATAAAATATTTTTTTTACTAACACATGTGATCTAATATTATAAGAATAATAGCAACAACACACCAACAACAACAATAAGAAAAATATAATAATTAAAATGTCCATGTACTTATTCGTTGCTGCAATATTATTCTTGATAATCATAAACATGGAACAATTAAACCAAGAAGGCAAACAATAAAAATAAACTCATGCATATGAATTAAATTCAAAAAATATTAAAATGGAGTGTCTTGTTCATAAACATTACTTGAATGGTTTAGCCTTGCAGCTTGTGATTGTATTTTTTCTTCATCACCTTCTTGAGCGTGTATGTATCAATACATACAGTAAACACCAAGTTGCGAGAATGCACAACCACCTAATTATATAAAAACAGAATAACAAAATAAATCTTGGTAGAATTGATTACATCTAAAAATAATATATTTTGTTGGAAGAATGCAAGACTTATTTTACCTTATTATCACGTCCCCATTGATGTAGTGTAGTTTTATTTAATCTTTTCATATCTCTTGCCATTTCACACCAATCTTACAAATATTAAATCATAAAGTTAATCAAATCATTGATTATTTTAATTCTTTATCTTCAATAGAGATAAATTTATAATGAAATGGTACCATTTATTTGCAATCGGATAGGAAGTCCTATAACAAAACTTCGGGGTAAACGATATTCGTTATGCAATTTGACCCATCCTCAGGTAGAAGGACACTTATACGATCAGAAGATGTGCATCTAGATAGTGCCACATACAGGTGTTCATGTCTAAACACTGGTGTGCATAGATCGATCCCAACAAATTTTACAGACTGTCCTTGAAATTTGTTGATTGTCATAGCGTACGTCAATCGAACAGGAAATTGATGTCTTATCATTTGAAAAAGCAAATCTAGAGATGTTGGTGACAAAGATATTCTTGGAATGAAGACTAAATTACCAAATTTATCTCTAGTTAAGATCTAAGCTTCAATTACGCTTGTGGCACATCTGATAATTATCAATCGTGTGCCATTATAAAGCCCATCCTTTGGCGCTATATTCCTCAACAATATTATTGGGCAACCCACCTTCAAGTCTAACTTAAACGGTGGTAACGCAGAAGGGTCTAGTGAGTTTAAATACTCATTAAGATATCGATTCATGATGGATCGATCAAGTACATCACCGTCGGCTATTTTGTCAGCAGCTAAATATGTAATTGTTTCTCCTGGGAAAATATTCAATGATGCTGCATTTATAGCACTAACGTCATCATTCCTTGCAGAAAGAATTGTGCGCCCGGTTAGGAAGCTCGGGGGTCACTGAACCAACCGTATCCAAATGTGGATAGATTCTAAATATCAATTCTTGAAGAGTATGACACTTGTGTATTGTTTATGGAAGTTCTACAATTTCTTGTGGATTGGTTCCAACCTAAAAATTAGAAGTAAAACCAGAGAATATGAATAATAATAGTAATTCCAAATAATATGTTATATAACAAATGATCAATTAAATATTACCTCCATTAAGAATTTTGCAAATTCAGCATTTTCAGAATTTGTGTTAGTTAAATGCATGTTTAACCCTAAAGTCAAAACATGTACATTCCTCCACAATGCAGATCGCCTCAATGACGTACCTACAATTTGCTCGCGAACTCCTTTTGGTATAACTAGCAAGATTTGTAGAAAGTCTCCTCCAAGAACAACAGTGATACCCCCAAATAAATTTTGGTTATCACAGACAACCTGAAGTGTACGATCTACTGCCTCGACACAATACTGATTCTGCATAGGAACTTCATCTCATATTATCAATTTAGTTGATCTGAACAATTCTGCATGCATCGATTGCTTGGTAAACTCACAAATCAAATTTTTAAGCACAGTCAATGGGATACAAAACATTGAATGTGTCGCACCGCCTCCCATTAATAATAAAGATGCAATATCGGATGAAGCTACAATAACAACGATATATCCACAATTGCGCATTTTGTTAGCAACTGTATTATACATAAACATATTTTCCGTGCCAGCACCCCCACTCAAGAAAAAAGTAGTTTCTTTATTTTCAATTACTGATGAAGTGATTGCAGTATAAGCAGCATGTTGTGCATCATTTAGACGATCAATATTAGTTTGTACATCCGACTGTTGCGTTTCATGTTGGAGTTGTTGAGGCTTAAACAACAGTCTGTTACCAACTATTGCATTCCAATTCCCAATCGGTTGGGGCTTA